CTTTTTAAAAAATAAAAATGAGGGTATAATTACATTATTATAATTAATTTTATTTATTTATTTTATTATTATTTTTATAAAATTAATAATTTTAATAATAAAAAATAAAAATACATTAAAAAATACACTTATTTATTTTTAAACATGTCATTATTAGTCATTTAATGTTAAATAATAGTCGTTAACTATTGTATAGCCAAACAGTTATATTTATCGAATCCGCTATTTACCATCTGCTACCCACTTCTATTATTCGTCATCCGCTATTTACTAATGGTCACCTATTATCTGCTACCGCTATCTGTTATCCGCTACACGTTATCTGTTGAATTTTATCTGTTATACTAAACAAGTCCTAAATCATAATATAATCTGATCATCAACCAATCACTTTCTGCAAAATGTTGGAACAAATGAGAAAACCCAAGCCATTATTCCACCGCTTGTGGCGGCACCACGGTCTCCATCAACTTTAACTCCACAATCTTGGAAAAGGAGCCTTGAAATTTTTTAACCTCATTGATAAAAGCCATCATTATTCTAATACTGAGGCAACAAATGATTTGCATCAAATCAAACCTGATAATTATGGATTTGCCACCTTATCACAGTTAAGCATGCTCTGGCAACCTGCATGGAGGAAAAAAGGAAGATGCTTAAGTCAAATAGGATTCTCGAGGGAATTTGAAATGCGGAGGGAGGACGGAAGAACCAAATTTGAAATGATTCTGTTCAATTAGGGGTGGGCAAAAACCAGTTTTAAAATAACTAAAAAATTTTTCTTTAATTTTGAGAATCAAAATTAAATTAAAGTTTTCACAAATAAATCAGTTCAATTATTAAAAAAATCAGTTTGATTTCGGTTTTTATTAAAAAAATATTAATTAGTTATTTTTTTAATAATAAATTATATTTTATCTCATATTTTATCATATATATTATAATTTTAATTTTCAAAGGTTTATTTTCGATTTTTAATTTTTGAAATGTTTAACTATAACCAAACAAAAAATTATCTAGTTAACATCAAAACCAAAACAATAAAAATTAAAAACCATTTAAATCAAACCAAATTCATTTTTTCAATTTGATTTCCAAATAACTATCGGTTCGATTTCCAAATGTCCAACCCTAGGACTTCGAATTACCTTAATAAGGAAAGAAAGTCTCAACCTTGTGATCTTTTGGTGGGAGGGAACCTACCGATTTTGTATGTCTCAGCTTCCACACCTATAAGACAAATACAGTCCAAGGTAGGACAAATAAAAGGTAATGCCATGCGGCAATAGGGTAAGGAGAGACCGCCCAACAGCTTTTGACTGCTAACACAAGCGCTTGGGTGGTGATGGGTGTGTTTTTTGCTTTGCTACTTGACAAACCATGAGTCCCATTGTCCTTTTTTCCTTATCTTAGTGATCATGTATGAAGCCTTAATTATATCTAAGTTAAGTCGCTAGCTGTCTAAATCTTACAGATAGAGCTTTCTAACTAAGATCCTAAGAGCTCTAAAAGATGTAGCTCATTTAGTATAATTTTTATTTTAGAGTTTGATGCGATTTGAATTATTTTAAACTAAAATAAAAAACACAAATTCACTATTGACTCAATTTGTAAGTTGCAACTTACCCTGCATCCTGTGATGCTTTGACTGTGCCTGGGGTTGTTACATAAGTACATTTCTTTCCTTCAAGGCTTAGGATTGGATTCATGGACTGGGCTTGCCCATGTGTTGTTACTTGTTATATTGGGTTATCTAAGTGGCCCAATCTTAAAAGGGCATGCCCTTGTTATGTTACTTGTTAGATTGGGTTCTCTAAGTGGCCCAATCTCAAAGGTGACGTACCAATTGACATCCCTTGTGTGCTCTCCTCCAATTAAAATATGACACGTGTACTGAATTTATTTAAATGATCTCTTCCTGTAGTGAAAAAACAATATTATATAAAATTATAATTTTATAATTTTATTTAATATTAAATAAAATATGATGTGATATTAAACTAGTAAATGTATATAATTTTACAAATGGATTTCTAAATAAAAAAACTAATTATATAAACACATATTATATTACAAACTAATAATGTTATGTAACATTATAATTTAACATTTTTTATAATAAAATTAGATGTTGACAATTAATGTTTATTGACTAAAAATTTTGCACAATCTCTCATAGCATTAAATGAGTAAATGAATACTAATTCACGTGCCTTATAATGTGAAAGCAACCAACAAAACTATGGTCACATCATATTATAAGGATATGTTGTTAATAAATATTGTCAACTAATTATTTTCACATATAAAGGCTAAATATGGGAAAATTAAGTATTATCTTATTCATATTTATTATGCCAACATCTACATAAAATAAAGTATTTTTAAGGTTTCATATACAATAAAAAATTTATTGAATAAAATACAAGTTAGCTGACCATAATTATCAAATAAAAAGGACCCACTAAAAAAATCCTCAAGTGCAACATCCTTTTTTAACACCAATTATGGTAATAAACAAGGTCACAACTATCATTTTAATATAATTTTTAATTCAAGCCGTCACAATAAAAAATATTACAACATGTAATTTTTCTTTTTATAGTGACTTTTCTCATGTTAACGATTTAAATAATTTAATAGTTATCTCCTTCCACTAAAAGTAAGAGATTTTAAATTTGACTTACATAGCATGTGGGTAGGGTAGCATAGAGGATGAGAGATAGTTGTTTTTCATTGTGCAACTAATATAAAAAAAAAAAGTTACCCTTCCCATCTGATGATCAATTTTAACAAAGAGTCTTTCTAATAAAATATCAACAGAGAATATACCAGTATTGCACTGGAGTCATGATACATTTTTTTGGTTAATAAGTCTTCATTGTCAAGATATAGAAAATTAGAAATAGAATAGGGGCTTAATTAATCTGAAAATAAGTTTGAGGGTAAAAATGAAGAAAAATTAAGTTTAGGGGCTCGTTTGGGTTATTCTTGAGACGAACAAAACCTTCTTCCCCACGGTCTAGGGCACAGATAGCGTGAAACAGAACAGAAGCAACCCAAATTCCCAATCGAATCCATTGAAATCATTCACCTGTCCTATTCTCCCTCTTCAATGGCGGACGCTCCCTCATCTCCGGCAACCCTGGACCCATCCTCCCAACTCCCCACACCCGAATCTGGAAACCCAAATCAACAACCCGATCCGCCTTCGGCTTCAGCAACGACGCCACCGCCACAAGAATCATCAACACCCCTGACTTCTAACTCTACCTCTAATGCACCGCTGGTACCGCCGCAGCCTCCCTTGATAACTTCCTATGGTCCTCCGCCGATCTCTGGCGCCATGACCGCCGTGCTGCCGGCTGGACCGTCGTTCCGTCCTGTTCCACTGTTTTCTCCTCTTCAGAATTATCAACTCCCTGGTGTACCACCGCCTGGCGTGAGTGCCGCTCCAGTTGTAGCTCCCGGTTCTGTTCCGACCCCTATGATGCCCTACCAGGTTCCGCCGGGTCAAGCTCCCAATCCTGCTCTGAGACCATTTGCGCATGTGCCTAATGGATATGCAGCTATTCCGGGAGCTACTGTTCAGGGAGCCATGCCTCTTCCGGGTGGGTTATTCCATCTCTCTCAGTCTCAGTTCATTCATCTGTTTATGTGTACATTGGTATGTATGGAACAGTCTCGTTTATATCTTTGTTTTTGTAATTTGGTAGTTTGTTTCTTTGTTGTTGGATTCTGAAATCTTGTTGTGGAACTGGAATGAACATGATAAAGGTTCCATGGATAGTGCTAAACAATTTATTGTTTATGATTGATACATGCTTATTGCATTGATGGGGAAGAGTTGATTTAAGAGGAAATGGGTGAGATATAAAAATTGGTGTTGGTTAGAAAAGGGGTATCGATGACTGGATGTTTTCTCCTACAGTGTCTTGATTGAATACGTGAGAAAGGTTGGAAGGCTTCAATTCAAATCAATATTGCTTAAGAGATCTACTTCCACAGGTCCTTTTTTTGGTATGCACACGTTTGCTTGGCCTCCTTAATTGCATTTAAAGTAAAATGTAACTTTAATATTCAAGCACTTGTCAGCCTAAGAGCTAAATAGGAAAATTAAACAAGAATAATGGCGTTCCAACAAATAATTATTCATTTTGTAATTCTAAATCATGTCTGGCTTTCGTAATGTTCATTTATACTCTCTGGTAGTTATAAGGATACTTTCCCTTTAATGGGTTTATGAATTGCCAGCAGCAGAGCATGTTAGCAACTGAGTGCTCCTTGGCCTTGTATTCTAAGGTATTACATTCCTACCAAGTACATGTTTTTTTTTCTTTCTCTTTTTTTCCCCTTCATATTTCTCTCTGTTTGAGATTTTCATGTTGCACATTGAGATGCTAACACTTGAATTAGTCTAAACATTGAAATATAAACACATAATGTCACATTAGTAAGTCACTTGCAAGCATGAGATGCTGGAAGTCTCATGTTATCCATATCAAAATTTTCGAATTGGTGCATGGGATAGTTTGAGAAGGCTCTTATGGATGGATGCATAAGGTAAGTGCAATTTACATAACCACAATACGAACTAGATTCTATTCTCTTTAATGTTTCCTTCAGGTTTTCTGTTCAGCTGGTGATAGTTGCAATGCCTGTGGTGCCATCTCTAATATGCTTTTAATGTGTGGTAACATCATTTAATTATTCTTTTTGAAATTCTTATTATGTATTTATGCCTAGAGACATAAAAAACCTTGTCAATATATTTAGTTTGTAAACTTTCTCTGATATATCTGCATAGATATTTTTTCTATTTGCAGGACTTCCTCATTATCCATCTCCATACCCAACAATGCTTCGGCCTTTGTTTACTCCACGCCCACCTGGAGCAGTTGGTGTAATTCCAGCAGTACCACGTGCTCCTGTTGGCATTCCTGGTGTTCGCCCAATTCTCCCTCCTGTTGTTAGGCTAGGCATTCTTCCCACAGTTATGCCAGCAGAGAAACCTCAAACTACTGTTTATATTGGCAAGATAGCACCGACTGTAGACAATGACTTTATGCTCTCTCTTCTTTCCGTATGTTTTGGATTCTTTGGATTTTAATAGCTTGCTTTATTTTCAGTTTGAATTTTTGACTATGTTTAATATTGTTTTGTGCACTATTTGAAGCTCTGCGGGCCTGTCAAGAGTTGGAAACGTGCCCAAGATCCCACTGATGGGACTCCTAGAGCCTTTGGGTTTTGTGAATTTTATTCTGCTGAAGGAGTTCTTCGTGCGTTGCGCCTGCTTAGTAAATTTAATATTGATGGGCAAGAATTGTCAGTACGTATATTTTTCTTTCATGTACCTGTTGGAATTATATAAAAATGTTGTTTTCCAAAGCTTTGGCCTTAGGAAAATGCTCCTAAAATCATTTGAAGCATCATCCAGCTTCAAACTCCCTGGAAATTTTCAAGTAGATGCACATGTAATCTGTAGGTGATCATGAGTCAGATTAGTCTATTCTATTTATGTGATGAAAAGTGATATCATTAGATCTTCATTCATCTTTATCAGAATGTAAATAACTGATGAAAATATTTTTTACCCTTATTCTGTCCTCTTCCAATTAATATTGTAACTATTGACCAGTATTCAGTTATATGTGGAATTGTATTTTTTTTATCCCAAATCTAAAATAACTAAAGAAGCATAACTTAAATGAGTTTTAAAGGGTAATTTATGGGCAATTATGTGTTAGATATTATGGTTGCCTTGTGTTTTCATTTTTCAAAGTCTGTTCTTGAGTTTGTATCCGATATCTCTGACTAAGCAAAAAAGAAAAAGAAATGTGTCGACAAGGTTCTACTGAGCCTATGTGCGAAGGTACAACTGGAATAGTAGTTTTTTTTTTTTTTCTTTTTTTATGGTTCTTGATGCTTTTACAATGTTGTTGGACTGATCTGATATATATTCTAATTACCTGATTAACTATTCTTGATTAACAGATAAATGTTAATCAAGCAACAAGAGAATATTTGGAGCTGTATGTCAAAAAGAAAATGGAAAATGCAAAGAAGATCAAAGAAACACAAGCTGGAGCAGATGAAAAAGAGGGTGAAACTGAAGCAGGCAATGAGAAGAGTGAACCTTCAATAGCTTCTGTTGATGATACCAAGGAGGACAGTGATGCTGGCAACAAAAAAAATCTTGACATTTCCAATTCTGGGATTGTGACTGATGAAGACCAGGAGGCAGACAAAGAGGCTTTGGAAAAGCTTACTAGCATGATTGAGGAGAGGTTAAAGACCAAACCCTTGCCTCCGCCCCCTGCACAACCAGCCCCTGATAGTTCCATGAAATCAAATTCAGAGATGCTAAAATCAAAGGATGGGGATTCTGATGGAGATATGATGCAATCAGGTGAGTTTTTACTGTGGCAATATGTAGTTTTATTGCTATCTATGAAGAGGAATTTCTGTGTTTTGCAATCCTTGCATTTTTTACGACAAGTATCTTGGTAAAAAAAAAAAAAAAAACAGAGTGACAGGTTATGACGTGTTAACATTGCTGGACTTCATTATTCTGTAGATGTAGCTGAAGGTAAAAATGAAGAGGAGACTACTAGTGACAGTAAAGCAACAACAGAGAATGATAAGCCTGAGTCAAGTTCGCCTGATCATAGAAATGATAGGAGAAGCAGAGACAGAGACAGAGACAGAGAGAAGGATTTAAAACGGGAAAAAGAGAGAGAAATTGAAAGATTAGAAAGAGTAACAGAGAGAGAAAGGGCGAGAAAAGAGAGGGAGCAAAGAAGGAAGATTGATGAGGCAGAGCGCGAGTATGAGAAGTGCCTTAGAGATTGGGAGCAAAGAGAAAAGGATAAAGAGAAACAGAGGCAATATGAGAAGGAAAGGGAGAAAGAGAGGGAGCGCAAACGAAAGAAGGAGATTCTTTATGATGAAGAAGATAATGATGATGATGATTCTTCAAGAAAAAGGTGGCATAGGAGTGTGATAGCGGAAAAGAGGAGGAAGAGGTTACGGGAAAAAGAGGAGGATTTGGCTGATAGGCTTAAAGAAGAGAAAGAAATTGCAGAGGCCAAAAAGATGGCTGAAGATCAGCAGCAGCAGCTGCAGCAACAAAGAGATGCATTGAGGCTTTTGTCTAATCGTATTGTGAATGGAGGTGAGAAAATTGTATTGGCTGAAGAGTCCACTATTGAAAGCAAAGACATGTCTGTTGAACGTCATTACGAAGGTGAATCCACTCATGAAAACCTAAGATTAGGTAATTACTTATCTTTTCCATTCAATATTACTTTAATTTGAATTTTTTCATTTCATTCTTTCCATCGTACTGAATGAGCTTATGACAATGCATACTAGTTGACGAGAATTTGCAAAATGGTACAGTTGATGAATCGAATTTGGCATCTATTGCTGCATCAGATGCACGGCAAAGTGGGAATGCACCTGCAAGAAAGTTGGGGTTTGGTCTTGTTGGGTCAGGAAAACGAACTACTGTTCTATCTGTTTTCAAAGAGGAAGATGATGATGTGCGTAAGGACAAAAAGATGAGGCCCCTGGTTCCCATTGATTATTCAACAGAGGAACTGGAGGCTATCCAATCAACAGTTTCTGGAGCACCACCTCCAAATCTGGTTGCAGCAGCAGAATTTGCAAAGCAAATATCAAATATTAATCCCAAAGCAGAAAAGCTTGATGGAGAAAGAGAAAGAGGCAGGCGTTCTCATGATAAGTCCAGCCGGGGTAAGGACCGCAATGACGAGGATGGCAGTCGCACCAGAGATGAAAACAAAGAGAAGTTTGCTGAGCGGGACCGGGATCATCGGGAACATGGACTGGATAAGTCGAAGACAGCAGATACCCAGAAGCTTTTGGATGCAAAACAGTTGATTGATATGATCCCTAAGACCAAGGAGGAGTTGTTCTCATATGAGATAAATTGGGATGTGTATGACAAGGTAATCATCCTTGCTCTGGGCCTCATCTTAAATTGCTAGTTACTTTGGATTAAAATGTTGAGGAACATCTGGCTTCTGACTGGCATCAAAAAAGAGAAGCTAAGAATCTTAAATTATATATTTATCTATAATAAAGAAAGATTCCTTGGCTTTGTTCATTTTCAATATGCTCCTAATATTTACTTTTCTGCTGTCTGCACTTTCACAGCATGCACTGCATGAGAGAATGAGACCATGGATTTCAAAGAAGATCACAGAGTTTCTGGGGGAGGAGGAGAAGACGCTGGTTGATTACATTGTATCCAGTACTCAACAGCATGTGAAAGCGTCTGAAATGCTGGATCTGTTGCAGTCTATATTAGATGAAGAGGCAGAGATGTTTGTTCTCAAGATGTGGAGGATGCTCATTTTTGAAATTAAGAAGGTAGAGACAGGTCTAGCTCTGCGGTCAAAAGGGTAATGGTATATTTCTGTACTGTTTCTCCATTTTTACAGGATGGATACTTTTACAAGTATACCAACTATACATGGCTATTCTCATTTGGTAAATGCTGTATGTCATCTTCCCATTGTTGGAGAATAAAACGTAGCTTACAATCCATGTTATTTACAGTGCTTCAAATTGAAATCATAATTTCTTTGAATTGTTTTCTTGCTCTTCTTGCATATATAATCGAAGTTCTAACCAAAGCTTGTTTTACGGTATTCTCAATTCTCTAAGCTTGTCTGATGGAGAAAAGCCCATCCTTATTCATCCACCCTAACTGTTGATAAAGAGAGGCAGCAGCTACGGTGGGGGAGGAAGGAATAGAGAGTGAGGCTCAGAAGTGGAAGAGGTTGAGAGAAGGGGAGGGGGCGGCTAGTGTTCTCTTCTTTTAACATGTTCTGTGTCCTACAGATTTGATCAACCATCATAAACATGGTTGTTTGGATTCCGCGTCAGGCAATCAACGTTTCTTAATCAAACAATTATAATGCTGAATTGAGCTTAGGAGGATTTGTGAACTCTTTTTGACAACTTCAGATTTATAGCCATTTGCCTCGTGCATATCTGGAGTTCAATATCTATTATATATTTGGACATTGGACTTGAAACTCAAACGTTATATGTACGTAATATACTACGGCCCATTCTTGTTTATCTTGTTCATGTCTCTCCTAGATTCTACAATAACAAGTTCAGACAACCGTTCTCCAGATAGAAAAAGAAGATGCAGTATTTCCATGCTAAATATGGTATGGTTGTCCAGCAGCCTTCAATCAGGATTTTCTGAGCTCAACATGGCAGAGGAATGAATTACAAGGCAATATCTTCAGTAATCTACGTTCTTGCTCTCCTGGCCACCCAGGATTTTGGTCTTGGTGTTTTCTAAAACTTCTAATTGTGTTCATGATATTGGAAATTCTACCTTCAGAAACAAATTCAACCTTGAATTAAACAACTGGGGAGGATTCGTCAACAACAAATCATGTTGAGGAGGAGCTTGTGAGGAGTACTTCTTTGCATTGGGGCGGCGCGCAAATCTGACGGGGGCAATGCATCTGAATTCCAGAGAGCAAGAAAACTGCTTGACATTGACGAAAAATGTTTCAGGGTGTGGCCTTGAGAGGTTAACATATCACAATATAATTAAATTTAATTATTTTAATAAATTAATGTAAAGTTATACAATAATTTATATAAAAAAAATTCAAACTTAAAACCTAAAATATTAGAAACAAAATTTAAGATCCAAAAATAAATCAACCCTTATATAAGATTTATATGTGGTCATCGTGATGTCAGCACCACCACTTCTATTTCTGTCACATCTTTTTATGCAATCATCTCTTTATTTTTAGGAATTGAATTGAAAAATAGGTGATCAACGTGATATCAGCATCACCACCTCTATTTCTGCCTCATCTTTTTATGCAATCATCTCTTTATTTTTAGGAATTGAATTGAAAAATAAGTTCAGAACGGGATCTATAACCATGCTGGATTTTTCAAGGAAGTGACAACAACCTTGACTTGCAAGTAACGGGAGAGATTTATAACCATGTTTCACTTTGGTCATCTTGTCCACGGATAGGATTTTGTGAAGCTATAACTCAGCTTGCAAAGATATTTTGTGAAAATTAGACATATGAATTTTAATATAAAATTTATATTCAAATTAAAATCAATTAGTAATAGGTGAAATAATTTTTTTTATTTTTAACTCATATGTTTTATCATTGATGTAAAATTTTTTTACTTAATATGCTTTCCTTATGTGTAAACTCAACTCTTATCACATGAATCTTATCTCATAGACTTAAAGAAAAACTTAATTTTAGAATACTAGTAATATATCATTAGTTCTTCCTTTAGTAAAGAGAGAATGTTACAATTCATCATACATGAAAGCAATTAATTATTTGTTGTTCTTGAGTTTCAATATCATGAAAAGAAAAAAAAAAGTAAATTAATTGATTCTTCATTATATATGAAATAGTATATATCTCTAACACGAAGGTTTAGGAGGGATTTATTTATCATCATCATCATATCAGCATCACCACCTTTATTTCTGCCTCATCTTTTCGTGCAATCATCTCCTTATTTTCAAGAATTGGAGGGAAAAACAGGTTCGAAAGGGGAACTACAACCATGCTGGATTTTTCAAGGGAGTGACAACAGCCTTGACTTGCAAGTAATTGGAGAGACTGTAAATGCCCTTTTCTCTTCCTTGTCCACTCATCTTGTATCCACCAAATGGAATGGCAGCATCAAAGACATCAAAGCAATTTATAAATACTGACCCAACTCTTAGCGCTCGTGTAAGGGTGTTTGCTGTGTCAATGTTCTGCGTAAAGACCCCTGCAGCTAGTCCATATCGACTAGCATTTGACCTCTGAATAACCTCATCAAGGTTCCTGGAATTAGAGGAGAGCAGAGCAGAAATAGTAATAAATGTCAGAATAAGTTCTTCCTGAATCAGATGGCAAATATCAAGGTTCATAGCTCACTTGTATTTCAAGATGGTTTGGACTGGACCGAATATCTCCTCTTTGGCAATCAATGCATCATCCTAGTATAAGAATCTCAATAGTCAGGATCAAAGTTTCTTTTGTAAACTGGTTATTTAATCTCAATAGTTAGGAGTAATATAGGGAATACCTTAACATTGGTGAAAACTGTAGGCTGAATATAGTAGCCCTTATCACCAAATCTCTCACCTCCAGTCTCAAGGGTCGCTCCACACTCAATACCAGATCTTATGTACCCCAATATCTTGTCAAATTGTTTTTTATCAATCTGACAAATTTGAGAACACCATCATCAGTGCTAATTCCAAAACATAATACATGCAAATGCAATTCAATGATTCTCCTCACGGGATAGTGGTGGGATTATGAATTAATAGTGAACAAGGTGAAACATGAAAAATGACATCAAAACCGTTGCAAAGATATAGTCTCCTTATTTACCTGGGGGCCTTGTTCAATCCCGCTCTTGAATGGATCACCTACAGCACGATTCTTTGCAAGTGCCTTTGCTTTCTCTATGAACTCATCATACACTTTCTCATGTACGAATGTACGGGAGCCAGCACAGCAGCATTGTCCCTGCAAACATATTGCAATTATAGTCATAACTGATTAAAATTGAGTTCCTATGGGGAATTCACTAGGGCATACCTGATTAAAGAACAGAGCAAAGTGAGCCATCTCAGCTGCCTTGTCTACATCAGCATCCTCACAAACTATAAAAGGAGATTTCCCTCCAAGCTCGAGAGTTACTGGTTTGAGGTTGCTTTTTGCAGCCAACTGAAGGATAATTTTTCCTGTGTCAGTTGATCCAGTGAAAGCGAGCTGCAAAATGGTTGTCATGAATTAGTTTAAAGAGTTGCACTGGAAGAATCATGTAATGAATTCATTTTTCATGGGTTAATGCTACTTCATCTTTTTACAAGCTTCAAACAATGCTAACAAGAATGTTGAATTATTCTCATCAAGAACAATGACATTGGTACAGAAATCCAAGTTTGTTTAGGACTGAAACAGTGCTCTAAGAATGAAAATTACCTTATCCACTTCCATATGACTAGCAAGAGCTGCACCAGCAGTGGCACCAAAACCAGAAATCACATTTATGACCCCCTCAGGAAGACCAGCCTATCAAAAGATTACCTCATGACTCATGAGAAGGAAAAGAATCAAGAACGTACTCCATATTCAACAACCAACAATTTTTCTAAATATTCAAGCACAAGTTTAGATCCATAGTCAAAAGTGAAGACAAAAGGTTCAATGACAATATCTCAGAATCCACTTTCTTATTTAGGATATTGTAATATTTAAGCCTAATATCTTAGTCATGAAATAATTCTCAATAACTCTAGGAGACAGCAAGCCTTGGTAGTAACCAAAGGTTTTGCGGAAGAAACTACCTCATAAAGTAGCTTGGCTGCATAAATAGCAGAAAGTGGTGTTTGCTCTGCTGACTTAAGAACAATGGTGTTGCCACATGCCAAGGCAGGTCCAACCTTCCAAGCAAACATCAGAAGAGGAAAGTTCCATGGAATTATTTGACCAGCAACACCAATTGGTTCATGTAAGGTTTGCACGTGGTGCGGTCCATCAGCTGGAACTATAAGACCATGAATCTTATCCGCCCAACCTGAAAAACCCGTAGGAGACAAAGTGTCAACTTTTCATGGAGACAAAATACAAACCATGAAAGGTGTCAATACACTTTAACATTGAAAAGTTATCCATCCTTCCTTTTCATTTTACTGACCAGCATAGTACCGCATTAGACGTGCAAGCATCGGGACTTCAATCTTAGCAGCCTGTTCATATGGCTTTCCATTATCCCAGGTCTCAAGTGCCGCAAGTTCATCATTATGCTTCTCAATCAAATCAGCAAATCGCAACAATATGTTTGACCTTTCCTGAAAACCAAGAGGGAAAGTTATACAAAGTCGCAGCCCAGATTCCTTAACAAAAAATGCCAAACTAGAGAAGTTAATAAAGAAAATGTTACATAAGCAGTCATTCTTGGCCACGGTCCTTCATCAAATGCCTTGCGAGCAGCAGACACTGCTCGATTGATATCTTCTACATCGCCTTCAGCAACATGAGCAATCACATCCCCGGTCCTAGGATCCAGCGTTGGAAAAGTTTTACCTGTTGGATACAAAATTCAGTAAACAATCAGCTAAAGCAGAGTTGAACCAACATTCAATATAAATACGTAAGAATAAACTAAAAGATTACCTGATGCAGAATCAACAAACTTTCCATCAATTAACAGCTGTGTGTAATTTACTTTGACAGGAGGACTGATTGGTTCCTCAACTTCCACGGCTGTACTGTATCTAGAAATTTGTCTCACCAGGGTAGGATTTGTCCCTGTAGAAACAAATTCAACCCATGAATATGAGTAACAAATGAGGATATGAACTAGAAAAAACAATATACACTCGGGACAAAAAATTCTGCATGACCCCACCAGATTCCAAAACCCCACCTATTTACATCAAATGAAACTGTTTTTTACATTCGTTTGGAATTGGAGATATGTCAATTTGGAACACGAGAATGAAAACTGAAATCAATTTTCCATTTTTGTCAGCCGTGCGTTTTCTCTGCAACCAATCAAAGCGGGGGAAAAGATAGAAAATTGAAAACTATAGAATGAACCAATTTGAATCGTTGACTACCGTGAATAGAAAATCCTACGTCAAAGAGTGGGTGGAAGAAAATCTAATTTAGCATTCCGATTAAAAAATATGCATTAAATTAAACAAAAGATATACAGTATATATATATATCTTAAAGAGATTAGTGTTCACATATATCTTTACATATTAATATTTATTAGTTAGATCTGAATAAAATTACAAAAAAAATTGAAAACTATGTGTTTTCTTTTTCTATAAAGCACATTAAAAAAAAGTTAAAATTTTCATTGTTAATTTTTAAGAATAAGTTGTTTTAATCTTTTTCAATAAAATTTATTAAAACTATTATGGTTTCCTGATTAGGATGTTGATAAACATTTTTCCCTATCTCAAAATTGTAATCCAAACACAAAAGCCAGATGAAGAACAAGATATCATCAGATCATGAACACAGAACACATAAGAAGAAGACAATCAGACCCTTTAACAGAATCCAATTAAAAAAAAAAAAAAACCCCTTGAATTGATCACTGAATAAACATGTAAACCAAACAGGATAAACCCAGAAATATGAAATGATGAATACCTCTAGAGAAAAGGGGAGCAGGAAGGGAACTGAATGAACGAGAAAGCAAAGAAGAAATCCTCCTAGCCGCCATTATTGATCTAGCTTTCTTTAGCACCTACACCCAATGATGACAACCTATATGTAGAAAATTCAGTCTTCTGAGATAAGGATGGGATGCCAGAAAAGCAGGGGAGGTGACTCACGAACAACGCAACCTCCAGTTTAAAAGTCTGCAGGGTTGGTGTTCGTGTTGTGTGTTATTATAATGGAAAATGTAGGCACTTATCATCCAAAATGTTGGAAAGGCGGTTCTGTAACAGTTTTTTTTTTTTCTTGGCTCATTCAAACATTGAGTTATTAAATTTTTGAACGTCCTCATGAACACTCAGCTAATTATATATCATAAAATTTATTTATTTATTTTTATTAATTTATAATTTTTTTATTACTCATAAATATTTTGTTTTGATTTTTAAAAATATGTGTTTATAAATTAATTTTAAGTTTTTAAATAATAAATATTAATTATTTTTAATAATTAAATTAAAATAAAAATTAAATAAATTATGTGATTTTAACCAATGATTGTTGGCGATAACCCTTGCCCATATTTTCTTGTGATAGGATAAGTTTGTTTTTATTTTTATTCTTCGTTTTTTTTGGGTATAGGTGTGATCTGATAAGTTATAGAAATGGGTTCATTTTCCCAAAAAAAAAGGGGTAAATTTCTTCTTTTTATCCCTAACCTTTCTAACATGAGGAACTTTCATCTTTAACCCTTACTTCAAACCCATACTCATCCCTAGCCTTTTTGAAATTATCTACCATTTGTCCATACATCATCCATGCTGGCAAAATTCTAACGAAATGCTGATGTGGCTATAATGGCCCACGTGGACGCTAGGAAAAGCTGATCAGATCATTTTCATTCTCCTTCAATACAAATTAAAAAGCATTTATTCTTTTCCTTTGTTGCATCTTCTTTCATTTTATTTATTTTCTCTATTTCAGTTTTTAATTTCTTTGAGATTATGCAATGCCTCAAGAGAACATATCATGTGAAATTGACTATTAGGAGAACATATCATGTGAAATTGACTATTAGGAGAACATATCATATGAAATTGGCAATGTTCAAAAAAACAAATTATATGAAATTTACAGCAACTTGATAACGATGATTGAAAGAAAATCCTTCAATTTTTTCGTTAATGCCCAAAAATATGGAAAATGAAGAAATCTTAACATTTTTATTTAATTAAAATTTGAGAATCATTGGATGCATAAAACCATAAATCCAATGTACCATGACAAACTACTACATCTCAATTTTCCTTCCATCATTGACACTTCTGCAATATTTCATTCATAAGCTTAATCGAATGTATGGAGTAATGAAATTCTCTTGACGAAATGAAACAAAAAATTTAGAATTTAAAATAGGAAAATCAAGAAATAGAAGATTGACAAAAATAAAAAAGAAGAACGAGTTGGTATGGAGAAGGAAAATTTTGGCCTACTTTTTTCCAACTAAAGGATTCATATGTGGAGCTCATTATTGGCCACTTTAGCACTCCGTTGGAATTTAACATACTTGCTGAATGCTGACGGAAGGACTAATGGTGGATAATTTCATAAGGGTTTGGGATGACTACCAGTCTGAAATGAATGTTAAGGATGAAAGTGTCTCATGTTAGAAAGGTAAGGGATGAAAGGAGCAATTTACCCAAACCAAACCAATTGATTTTATTTATTAAAAAATTTATTAAGAGACAATTGTTAATTTTTTATATAAATTATATATATTATTTAAAAATTAACTTTTTTTATATTATCAAAATTTATAATATTATATATTTATTTAATGATATATAAAAATTAAAAATAAAAATTATATAAATAAGTTAAGTGCACATCATTATCTTTTAAAAAAATATATATGGGATGAGTTGATTACTTGATTTGAATGGTGAATGCAGGATATGAAAGGAAATTTCTCTACAAAAATATGGGATGGATTGATATCTTTATTTGGATTCGGAATTTAGGATATGAAAGGAGATTGCGTAGGAGGTAGGACATTGAAAGCATTGATCAATCTCTGGAGGTGTGGTGTAGATTTCCAAATACGGCTCTTTTGGTTTCTGCCAACGTCATTCTGAGTTAAATGTTATGCCATGTAAGGGAAAATTGAACGTTCCAATGGAGTGTGTGTTTAATTTCAAAATATAAGTAATTAGTGTTTAGATTAAATAATTAATAATTGTTACCCCTTTTATAATCTAAATATTTTTATTCTCATTATTAATTCAAATCACTAACGGTAATTCCAAAACTTTATATCAAATAATCCATTTTTCAAAACTTTACTATGTTGGGTGGTATTATTACTATATCTTTAATTATTAATATTATGTTTTTTTATTTTAATCGATTATTATATTTTTTAATTTATTAAAAAATAAAAAAATATAATTTTTTTAAAAAAATATAATGTAAAAATATAATAGATAATTACATTAAAAAAATAAGATAGAAACTATTTATGATATAACAATAATTTCATCCAAGTCTAGTAAGGGTTCTATGTCAACATTATTTTTTCAATTTTGTAAAATCTTTTATTTTTAGTTAATGTCATTGATGACAAAAGCAGTTTTTTTTTTACAGGTCAACACCCAATTTCCACTTTAATGAAATTTAAAAAATGTACAGTATCATTTCATCTAACAAAACCTTATACATATATTTTTTATCAACCAAATAAATATTATTAATTTGAAGTGCAAAGGGTAATCTTATCCATTCACATCAAATAAAATTAGTAATAAAATCTTATATATAATAAAATTATTAAGTTTGAATGAAAAAATTGAAAACCTGACATCCTTAATTAGGTACAAAAAGTTGAAATCCTTAATTAGTATCTTTTTTAAGTTTTGAGTCTATAATTATGCTACGTCTTCTCATATATATTGACATCTTGTTTTATTTTATGGCCAAATTACTGGCAGAAGAAGATAAAATACCAGGACGGGTGCAAATGCCAAAATTGAAGGGAAAGTATATGCTCAATGTTCGTTCAAACAATATTATAATTACAATATCATGTTTATAATATCATATAAAATTATAAAATTATAAATATAATATAATACTAAATAAGTTGATATATAATATCATGTGTAAATTTTTAAATAAAAAATTAAGTATATAATAATATATTATATTATAATTTTTTAATATCATGTGACATTATAATATAATAGTAAAATACCAAACCCAAACGAACAAACAAACAAAAAATAATTGGGCTTGGATCTGGATTGGGAAGAAATGTGCGCTGATTATTGGATACATGATCATTGGGCCCCTTCATTAATTCCAGAACAAACAAACCAAATACATGTTGGGCCTAGAGAAGGAGCAGAAAGTAAGATAGTTACCCAATTTATTCATGGGCAAATAATTCCCCAGTGAAATCAATTTCTTGAAAGGTAGGTAAACGGAATTTTTCATAAATTTTTTAGTATTGATATGTGCAGCCTGCCTTTAATCAGACTTAAAAAAAATTAATCTCGATATGTGTGTAACCTACCTCAAAAACAGATTGACTGTTAAAAAAAAACAGAAGAAAGAAAGAAAGAAATTAGTGTTGTGCTTAGCTATATTGCATTCCTAATCCTAATTGCTAATCAAAGATTTAGAGGAGAATATGAATTTGGCTAATCTCTTGTTGATAATCTTGCAAACTAGCTAACCCTTGATGTTAGCCCTAGACATTTCAGGTCTAAGGAAGAGCAGTTCTAGGAACATTGATTTGAGTTGGTCCTAAAACTATTTTATCTCTAGGAACACGTTAAACAATTCATTAAAATCAAACACCAACTTAAGAAGAAAGTCGTACTAAGTACTGAGGAGGTACTAAAGCAGCATTATATTAATTTGCTTTGTCAATTTTATCAAAAATAAACTAAAGCAGCATTATTTTTTTCGAAAGTTGGGAACCGCCACTCCCTTTTTATGGGCAGCTCTCTTGTCGTGAAACACTTGTCATGGTCCTTCTGACATCGAAGTATATAATACAGTTTTTCACGTAATGTATAGTTCGAAGGAAACGGAGAAAAAAGGGCCACGACACCGAATTATATATTACAGTTTTTCTCGTAATGTATAGTTTGAAATAAATAGAGAAAAGGAGAAATGAGAAAAAAAAATTTAATTAATTAAGTAAAAAATATTGAGTTAATTTTTTTTATTTTTTAAATTAAATATACTGTAATTTTAAACTATTTATTTCAATTAAGTGACATTAAATTTTAAATTAAAATTATTCATCTCATGTGATTTGTACGTTCGAACTTCACAAAATTTTTTTTTATCTTTAATTAATTTGTAAATAATTATAATATATTCAAAATATATATATATATACTGCAGTTTTATGAGGAACAAATTTTCAGTTTAATGCTTTTAAAAAAATAAATAGATATTTTTGAGGATTATTAAAGTAAACCCGACTAAAAGCAAGAACTGAATGATAAAGAGGGAATGAAATGGGAAGAATTAAGGGAGACGCATGCATTTGCCGACCAAAGCATCTGAGTACTTAATTTGACTTTGAATTCCAACACGGCAACACCAATCAAAATTCACTTTTGCTTTTATTTCATTTTATACGACTCGTGTGGGGGGCGAGGCTTCACCAATATTCATCACCACACAATCATTGATCTCTCAGACTAATTATGCACGTGACAATGTGACCTGTCAACTACCACTCCGTGGAAATTTACCATGCAACCATCAACCTTGCGAGCCTCTAGATAAAATATCTTAGTGATTAAGGGTTTAAATTTTTTTAATTAGAGATTTAAAGCTAGAAATAAGTTAAAAAGGGGGATTTGAGAGAGATAAAAATTGTTTCTTACATTAGGTATCTTTATAATTAAAAGTTTAAATTTTTTTATTAAAAATTTAGAGTTCAAATTAGGTAAAAAAGAGGAATTTTGAGAAAAGTGAAGATTGTTTCACGTTGTATAGCCCCTTCATCACACTTAAAAAAATATTTTAGAAAAAATCAACAGTTTAAACATGTACCATGTATATATACTGTACATGCTTTTTCTTTTTAATTTTTTTCTCTTCGAGACTAATTAGTTGTAATT